ATGCATGTAAAACATTTAGCTTCAGTGTATTTGCAATTTTAGTCTCTGGTCAGGCTTGAGAGTGTATTAATTTATATTTATTGAATACAATAAAAACTAATTAATACAATTAATAAATAGCATCAATCAATACATTTTAGACACTTGTATATGTCTGAGTGCCTCAGCAATCTAAGTGTACCGGGTTAGTGTATATGCTGTGTCCATGCAGAACTTGTGTTTACATTTATTTGGTTTGTCTTTGTCCACAGACATCAGTAGATGTAAAGAGGACCCGCCAATGCAGCCAGAGCTAAAACAGTTTCCCAGGACCCTGATGGGGGACAGGAGAAGGATCTTCAAGGCAGGCTGGTACCATATCCACCCCTGGCTTGAATATTCTCAACAGATGGACTCGGCGTATTGTTACGCTTGCAGATATTTTAGCCCTCCTAATACTGTTTTTTTCTCATCACTGTAATGTTATGACTACAATGCTTTGAAAGTTTGATGAAATAAAAAGTCAAATAATATTTCAAATCTGTCTTTTTAGCCCTGGGTTGAATGTGCCCCTCCATCAAAACCCCCGGCCCCAGCCCGGCCCCCTCAGTGAAACTGATCTAGAACCGCCACTGACTGCACGAGAAAATACTCAGTTTAAGGACAATGTTCCTCAACGTATAATTGCAAGGAATTTAGCAATTTCATCTCCTGTCCATAATATCAAAAAACTGAGAGAATCTGGAGCAATAACTGCATGTAAGTGGCAAGGCCGAAAACCAACATTGAATATCCATGACCTTCGATGCTTCAGGTGGAACTGTCTCAAAAACCACCATAAATGTGTAAAGGATATCACCACATGGGCTCGGGAACACCTCAGAAAACCAATGGCAGTAAATACAGTTCGGCGCTGCATCCTTAAGTGCAAGTTAAAACGCGGCAAAAGCCATTTATCAAGACACCTAGAAACGCCGCCGGCTTCTCTATGCCTGAGCTTGTCTAAGATGGGCCGATGCAAAGTGGAAAAGTCTTCTGTGGTCCGACGAGTCCACATTTCAAATTGTTTTTGGAAATTGTGGATGTCGTGTCCGCCCATGCTGAAGTGGAGAACTACCATCTGGACTGTTATGGACGCAGAGTTCAAAAGCCAGCATCTGTGATGATATGGAGATGTGATAGTGCCTATGGCATGGATAACTTACACATTTGTAAAGGCACCATTAGTGCTGAATGGTACATAGAGGTTTTGGAGAAACGTGCTTTCATCCAAGCAGCATCTTTTCCATAGATGCCCCTGCTTATTTCAGCAAGTCATCGCCAAACCACATTACACACGTGTTCCAACAGAGGAGCTTCGTAGTATACTAGTCCGGGTACTAGACTGGTCCGCCTGCAGTCCACACCTGTCTCCCATTGAAAATGTGTGGCACATTATGAAGCGCTAAAATATGACAGCAGAGACTTCACACTGTTGAACAGCTGAGGCTCTACATTAGAATGGGAAAGAATGCTCAACACAACGTCCCAACTTCATTGGAATTGGGTTTGTAAAGACGATAAAACACATGGTTGCATTTGGATACGTATATGAAGATGTGGAAAAAAGGTCCTGGTCAAAGGTGGCAACTGGCAAGCACAGATACTAGTGTCCAAAAAAAAAAAGTGATTCATCTGGAAGCACTGTTAGAAAGTGCACAAGGGGACAGTCAACTTTGACTTCTCGCATTAGGAATTCGTTGAAAAAACATCAACTCTTCACGATGGTCCTTGTGGGCGCTACTTGTGTCGTTGTTGTCCTGACAGGCAAATAATTGGCCAGACGAGTCACGTGCCACCCGACCGATAGCGGAAGTAGCCATATAGCTCGCGACTGCTAAACGTAGCGAACGTCGATGCGAAGGTTCGACGCTAGCCTCACAAAGTTGTCAATGTGAGGAATCTACAGTCGAAGAGATGGATACAGCAGTCATATTTGTTTTCATGACGGTTACCTTCCTGACCTCGCAGGTATGTGTGGGAGAGGGAACAAATAAGCGGGGGCCGAATGGATTAGATGACCACTTCCATAATTATGTCAAATCAGAGTCGGGCGGTGATTGAAGGTGTTGTACATGTAAAACGTAACGTTAAAGAGGACGCGATAAACGGCCCTCAATATGATATTATTTTAAGTACATACTGTACATGAATGAAAACGATGTTATATATGCTTTATTGTCAAGCAGGGTAAGAAAGACTACTGACAAGTTTTGTTTTGTCTTTACTTGACCCTCATTGCGCATGTGCGAATACAATTTGTTTTTTAATGGTAAAATATAGTTGGGGGGAAAACTGTGTTTTTTGGGGGGCGGGGTGATTGTGTTATTCATGTCGACAATTAAACTTTAGGCTGTTTCATGACTCGTTGGCAAAGGGGCTCAGTAAAACGGAACCACGCGTCTGCCTTCAATCGAAAGCAAGAGTATCAAACTTTTCATCATGGTGTACATCGTACTTATGGTTGCACAAAGGTCGTCAAACCACATATATGCATAATCGCAAGGGTTGTAATTATAAAAGCACGCCCCAAATTATGGGTGGCATACATCACTCCCCCAATTTCACCCCAGAGAGCCCCACGCTATGATTTGTTGGAGTCCTGAAAGCTTAATTAATTACTTTGTCAACATTTACAGGCTATTCGTTGTGAATTACTTTATTTCTCATCTGTTCTTGAATCTTTTGGCTCGTGTTATTTTGTTGTAGCTTTTTAAAAAATATTTTGACTGACCTTATTTGTCAGACAGGTTTTATTTAGGTGATTTCTTAATTGAACAGGTATGAATGTTAGCAGGCTCGGGTGTGGCCAGTGAAACTGAACTGGAAAAAGTGATTAGCAACTAAATTATGGTTTTAACAAGAGGGACATATTTTTTCCACACAGGCTCAGGTAGCATTGAATAGTTTATTTCCTCCTTAAAATAAATTAAATTTCCATTTAAATCCTGTTTTATGTTTAGATAGGTTATCTTTGTCTGACCTTTAAATGTGTTCAGTGATCTTAAAACTGCAAAAAAGAAAAAAAAAACAATTTAGAAGGAACACATACTTTTTAATATCACTGTAACTTGGTTTTAAGTTTTGGGTTTGGTTCAAGGAAAGAATACTGCATGTCTTGTGAAAACAGGTAAATTTAAATATATTTAAAACAAATCAGCAACAGAATTCTCATCAATATAATCTATAGATCTTAATTTTTTTATATGATGTTTTAATTGTGATGTCATTTGTTTTCTTATTGGTTTACACTTTTGTCCCTTACCTGATATTCTTTGTGGGAATCACAATAATGGTCCTACCATTGCATAATTGCAGCTGCATTTAATCATGATCTTTTTTTTTATGATAGACTAATGGAACTAGGTTTTGAAATAAAGAAATAAAAATCAAGGAAATTTTGTCCAAGCTTTCACGGGCCATCTAAAATGATGTGGAGCTCTTGACCTGACTGATCAAAAGCAGTGGTTCGCAAATTTTTACACCAAGTACAAATTGTACAACCTCAAACAACATTTGGTTCTCCAAGTACGACCATCATGACCAATGTTAAAATATCGCAGAGTAGTCGGCCTAAGTGTTGATCAGAAACAAGTCATAGGTTTTATTCCGAAAAGTTATCGTGCTGGTGGTGTTTGCTATGTCAATTTGCCCTTTCTCTCAAGGAATGACACAGAATTACAACTCTTGGTGTTTGTCACAATATTGTTAAACATGGCCACAACAATGTCTCACAAGTTGTCATTTGGATGAAATGCAATTGAACTGTTCATAACGTACTTTGAATAGTAATTTTTGTGTGAAACGGATACTCATTCTGCACCCTCCCACAGATAAACTGCCAAGAGGCTATCCTGCACATTTCAAGCGCAAGCACAGAACAGGAATTTTGCATCCTTTACAATCACTCATGGACCCCCCTCCCGGAAAGCCTTGATGCTACCGTAAGCTTGTCACCTTCAAAAAGTATCCTTACTTCAATAATAATAAATATGTTTTATTTGGAGCACACCTCATATTTAATGTTCATCTCAGTGATACACAGAAGAGATCGGATAAAGAACATTATGGCCTGTGACACTTTGGACTAGTCTGCTGGAATAGGCTCCATTTTAGACCTGGCCCCTAAGAGGACAATCAAGATAGAAAATGGATTGATGGATGAATGTAATTTCTTAAATGCTCTTATTGGTTCTACTTCATTAGTAGAGCAAAATTACCGGTATACACGCCAGTATGATGCAGTGTGGTTAAAAAAAACTACAAGAGCAACATTAAATATTGTTTGTGTACCATTCTGTGATGCCAAGCTAATATTTTCTTTCAGAATTCTCCCATGTTATCTTATTAGATTGTGCAGGTGAGGTGATGATGTCATCTTTTTGTCTTGTGTCGTTTTAGGTGCCATACCCAGTAGTGAACTTGACATCCACAATGCTGTGCGATCCCTCAGGTGTCAGTCCAGAGGTGGTGAAGGGGAACGCGGTGGTGGTGATGAGGGGGGACTGTACTTTCAGTCAAAAGGCTCTGGTTGCTCAGTCCCTCGGTGCCACAACATTGCTCATTGCATCCAACATAACCCTGGTAATTTGTTTGTTTTAGAGCCCATCTCTGAAGGTTTATAATTGTCTTTCTATTAATGCCGCAAAAAAAAAAAAAAAAGCAGCAAAGTATTCCATGAATCTCCTCAATCACTTCAACTTTGTTCCTTGGCACCAATAATCCACAAGAGGGTGCCAAAGCAATATATAAATATTGTACAAGCCTTCGATCTCAGCGCAAGCGCAACAACAAAGACAGGAGGATTGCCCCCTACCCCCAAAAAATAAATTAAATTCAAAATCCACAGAAAGGTGCTTCTGAGATTTGTTAATTTTGCTTGATAATGTGAACGTTCAGGCATATTTTCCCCAACATCTTGATGAACTCGTAATCTTGCTACTTTTGGGAAATTCCATTTTGGAATAGCTCTGTATGTGCGTCAGCATACAAATCAAACAAGATGCAGAAGTCATTCTGCAGTAAATCAGAGAGGTTCACAGCGTCAGCATGTACATGTTTAGTCAATGTAGCGTACATGAAATGGAGTTGACACAAGAAAGTAGCAGCTGTATTGAATGTCATCTGATCAATTTACCTTTCAGATCCCTCCATCAGCCAATGGCTCAGAGTACTCAAAGGTCCAAATTCCTCTGGCCCTCATGAGGTACAGGGACTTCGTGGAAGCTCAACGGGTCAGTCCCCCCTTTCCTCAGAAGTTTTTCAGCCTTCGAGTTTTATTATTATTTTTTTTTTTTTCAGTTGTCACTGAACAGCAAAAAAGTTGACCCTTGCTAAATGATGTCACGTTTCAATCAGGTTTTCGGTGATGAGATGCAGGCAAGGCTTTATGCGCCGCCCTCCTCTTGGATCGACGGCAGCATCGGCGTCATGCTGTTGATCTCCATTGTTACCGTTGCCTTAGGTGGCTACTGGAGCGGAGCCTGTGAGAGGTCAGAGTTCAGTGCAAGATGAGCTGAAATTTGTTTTCCCCTCTCCGCGAATCGGCAAATCTGTGGTTAGGGACCCCTCATTTAGTCCCTCCCACCCCCTCCAGCCAGCCCTGACAGCACTCGGTAGCTCCTTCAGTCAGAGACTGTTACACCCGCGTTGCAAGACGGAGAGATACCGCCGCTCGTTCCTACCGACTGCTGTCAGGCTGCCGAATAAAAAATGAATAAATAAATAAATCATAGAATTATTTAAATGATATGACAACATATGTGAATAGTACTGTGACTATTGTATTATATTGCACTTAATTATTGACCTTATCCATGTTTGTATTTATATTGCACTTAATTGAACTGTGTTTTCTTTTCTCTTCTTTCTACCCACAATCTTGCTGCTGAAGGCTGTAAATTTCCCCAGTGTGGGACAAATAAAGGATATCTAATCTAATCTAATCTAATTTAATGGGAATATTTTTTTCTATAAGTTCAGGATTCTGTTTATAATTTGTAACATAAATTATCAGTTTACAATATATTGAAAAATGTAGTTTAAGTGTAACAAAAGACTTATTATTATTGTAAATATAATAATAATGTGTTTGTGGCAGAGAGCGTTTGAATTCGGGTGCAGGAGGAGCAAACGGAGACAACAAAGCAGAGAGCGGAGATATTGCCCTCTACTCTCCTTGCAAAGTGGTTATTTTCGTCGGCCTCATGTTTGGCATGCTCTTCCTCATGTATTACTTCTACAATATTCTAAGTAGGTGGGATATGAAAGGAACAATTTTCAATCAAAACATTGCAATTATTTTGACACACTTTTTGCTTTGCCCCAGTTTATGTCATGATCGCCATATTCTGCATTGCGTCTGCCACCGCGCTCTTCAGTTGCATTGATGCGGTGTTGGAGAAATTGGGCTGCGCCCACGGAAAGTATTTGCATCTTTATATATGACATTTCTAGCCCTGAGTGGCACAAGTGAAATGGTCATGGAAGGCTTCCTTTGTTTAATCCGTGTTTCCCTTTTCAGCTTCACCGTTCTCAATGCCAACTTTTCATTGAGATCCCTCATTTTGGCCTCTGTGTGCATATGCATCTCTGTGGTCTGGGCTGTCTACAGGAATGAAGACAGGTACTTAGTATGCAACCAAGCGAACGGCTTGTCAGGGTTGCCAACTTAATGACTGTTGACGTTTTGCCACTTTTACAACTCCTCCCTTGAGTTTTTTTAAAGTGACTTGCAACAAGTGACTTGGTGTTGTTGGAGACTTCGTAAGACTCTTAGAGACTCTTTTCATCGCAAGCGATGTTCCAAATGCAATTCCATCTCCATACATCAGCATCAGTGTGGTATACTTAATTTGTATCAAATGGATAATTATAAATTGCAATGCTCAAGTTGTACTCCACAGACAGATAGCCAGACAAACTGACTTTTTGTCGTTGTGTGTTCCAGTAACCACACTACAACAAGCCATAGTAAAAACAAAACACCGTTGCAGAGGTAGCATAAGTCACACAGGATTTACGACAGTCTCACAGGAGCTGTGTACACTGTACAATATTAATTAGAGGCATTCAAATTCAGAGATTCTACTGTACCAATTTAATTTTAAAAAAAAACTCTTAACAATGAGTGTTATAAGCATGTTGTGTTTTTTGAAGGTGGATCTGGATCTTGCAGGATCTTCTGGGCGTTGCTTTCTGCCTCAACTTCATAAGGACCATCTCGCTCTCCAGTTTCAAGGTAGAATGTTTTTGACACGTAGATGAAACCAAAGAAAATAGATTTCATATTAGACAGCGCTTTCGTCTGTGCATAAAACAACAAATAATGGAAATGTTTTAATCCCTGAATAGGTGAATCTATGGGGAAACACTGTATCTCTGAGCCACAATATTATCACTCCTGTTATTCTCTACTATGTCTGCCAAGGATGTTGTTTTCATCACCTTTGACCCTTTGATAATCTTGAGCAGGACTAAACGAACCCAGATTTTATGATTGCGTGGATTTCTTTTTTTAAAATGTATTTTTTTGCTTGCACTGACAGATCTGCGTGATTCTCCTGACCCTTCTGCTTGTTTATGACGTCTTCTTTGTTTTTATCACACCTTTCTTCACCAAGGTATCACATGTCCATGTACATTATGCAAATTTGGGAGGAAAACATGATCATAAGATGTCTGCTTGGCATCTTTTCACAGGATGGCGTAAGCATCATGGTGCAGGTGGCTTTGGGCCCGGGTGCATCAGAGGAGAAGGTAAAGCCTCCATGTATTTTTTTTTTCTTACGTTTTTAGGGCAAAATGTACCCGAGCGGCTCTCCCCTCATTTCTTTTGCCACATTAATTATTTAACATTAGTTGCTACTACCCCACAGGATTTATTGAGTACAGTAGAACATTTATTGTTGAATGTTCCAGGCTACTGCTACACCTCCATTTTGAAAACACGCTTTCCCATAGAAAATAGTTTGACTGGATAATACTGGTGAATAGGGGAGGAAACGTGTCCAGTCTGAACCAACCATAATAGCACTACATCTATCCAAATAAATATACTGTACGGTACAATTAGAAGAAACTATTTAACATACAATGCTCGTATTCTTTATTACCAGAAGGAGACGACAGACTAGCAAGTGATACAAAGGTGTGTTTGCGCTTCATGACTTATTGGTATTTTTTTTGTCAAGGCATCTGCTATGGTCATACAGTAGCTGTGTTTTGTTGTCAATAAAGAGTCCACTGACTAACGTCTCCTGTTAGCGAGACGATAATCTGGGCTAATTTGTGGAAGGGGCTAACTGTAAACACGATGGTGTGCCGGTCAGAGCGCAGGTAGGAAGAGACAGGACTCAAATTTGCGATTTAGGTGCATGTACTTGAACTGGTATTTCTCATGGAAATAAACATAAAATAAATAATATTCATAAATTTCTCGATGTGTATATAGTTTGCAAAACAAACCACTGTGGCCCTCACAGTGACTGACCGTGAAGCTGTGAGGCGGAGCCATCATGTACAAACGAGCAGCATGCGATAGTTCGACTTGCTAACATCTTTAGCTCACAATCTTCAACCTAATCTTGGTGTCAATGTGTGGCTTGATTAACCTCTGCACTACCTGTTGTGGACTTAACTGTGCACTGGGGTTTGGCGGGGCTCTGTCACAGAGACGAGGTAACGTTGTGGAGGTGCCAGCTGAACCCGAGACTCCTACTGAGACAGTAAGACTAACCATTTTCGGAATTTCTTCACGAAACATATGTGCAGTTGATTGTTGATTGTTTCCTTTTCCCTCCAATCCCATGCCTCAGTTAAAGACCCTCAACACAAATGCCTCCCTTATAAATAATAACAAATAGTGGTCCGATATTTCAAACACTACTCATCACTAAATGTCACAATACTAGTAAGTTATCCCAACATACAGACTTGGCGGGGGTGGGGGGGGGGTTCATGCAAATGGTGACATGACCTCCAGATTAGATGTTCACATCTCTGCATCAGACTGCTAATGAATGGCGCTCACTCACAGACACGCTTTCGACTTGATGGGTGGGCTACCGGGGGTGGGGGGGGGTTCATGCAAATGGTGACATGACCTCCAGATTAGATGTTCACATCTCTGCATCAGACTGCTAATGAATGGCGCTCACTCACAGACACGCTTTCGACTTGATGGGTGGGCTACCATTCCTGAACACTAACCAAGACTCCAGAAAATCAGTTTTGCATCGCAGTTTGCAAGTTAAAATCAGCATTTTGTGCCTCATATATGAATAGCAATACTACCAACAGCCATTTATGCGGCAAGCTCCATGTCGTGTTATCATTGTAACACGGACCTTTCTCTCCGGCGACGCCCACTATGTTAATTTTACCTTTGTCCTACGTGGCTTATTTACAGTGGAATTAATGGTATCTTACTAACATTGTTACTTAGATGACTGTTGAATTTGTGGTTTATAACCATGGTGACAAGTACAGTATCTTGTTACATCCGTATTGTTTGACCCTTTGATAATCTTGAGCAGGACTAAACGAACCCAGATTTTATGATTGCGTGGATTTCTTTTTTTAAAATGTATTTTTTTGCTTGCACTGACAGATCTGCGTGATTCTCCTGACCCTTCTGCTTGTTTATGACGTCTTCTTTGTTTTTATCACACCTTTCTTCACCAAGGTATCACATGTCCATGTACATTATGCAAATTTGGGAGGAAAACATGATCATAAGATGTCTGCTTGGCATCTTTTCACAGGATGGCGTAAGCATCATGGTGCAGGTGGCTTTGGGCCCGGGTGCATCAGAGGAGAAGGTAAAGCCTCCATGTATTTTTTTTTTCTTACGTTTTTAGGGCAAAATGTACCCGAGCGGCTCTCCCCTCATTTCTTTTGCCACATTAATTATTTAACATTAGTTGCTACTACCCCACAGGATTTATTGAGTACAGTAGAACATTTATTGTTGAATGTTCCAGGCTACTGCTACACCTCCATTTTGAAAACACGCTTTCCCATAGAAAATAGTTTGACTGGATAATACTGGTGAATAGGGGAGGAAACGTGTCCAGTCTGAACCAACCATAATAGCACTACATCTATCCAAATAAATATACTGTACGGTACAATTAGAAGAAACTATTTAACATACAATGCTCGTATTCTTTATTACCAGAAGGAGACGACAGACTAGCAAGTGATACAAAGGTGTGTTTGCGCTTCATGACTTATTGGTATTTTTTTTGTCAAGGCATCTGCTATGGTCATACAGTAGCTGTGTTTTGTTGTCAATAAAGAGTCCACTGACTAACGTCTCCTGTTAGCGAGACGATAATCTGGGCTAATTTGTGGAAGGGGCTAACTGTAAACACGATGGTGTGCCGGTCAGAGCGCAGGTAGGAAGAGACAGGACTCAAATTTGCGATTTAGGTGCATGTACTTGAACTGGTATTTCTCATGGAAATAAACATAAAATAAATAATATTCATAAATTTCTCGATGTGTATATAGTTTGCAAAACAAACCACTGTGGCCCTCACAGTGACTGACCGTGAAGCTGTGAGGCGGAGCCATCATGTACAAACGAGCAGCATGCGATAGTTCGACTTGCTAACATCTTTAGCTCACAATCTTCAACCTAATCTTGGTGTCAATGTGTGGCTTGATTAACCTCTGCACTACCTGTTGTGGACTTAACTGTGCACTGGGGTTTGGCGGGGCTCTGTCACAGAGACGAGGTAACGTTGTGGAGGTGCCAGCTGAACCCGAGACTCCTACTGAGACAGTAAGACTAACCATTTTCGGAATTTCTTCACGAAACATATGTGCAGTTGATTGTTGATTGTTTCCTTTTCCCTCCAATCCCATGCCTCAGTTAAAGACCCTCAACACAAATGCCTCCCTTATAAATAATAACAAATAGTGGTCCGATATTTCAAACACTACTCATCACTAAATGTCACAATACTAGTAAGTTATCCCAACATACAGACTTGGCGGGGGGGGGGGGGGGGTTCATGCAAATGGTGACATGACCTCCAGATTAGATGTTCACATCTCTGCATCAGACTGCTAATGAATGGCGCTCACTCACAGACACGCTTTCGACTTGATGGGTGGGCTACCATTCCTGAACACTAACCAAGACTCCAGAAAATCAGTTTTGCATCGCAGTTTGCAAGTGGGGGGGGGGGGGGGGGGGGGGGGGGGTTCATGCAAATGGTGACATGACCTCCAGATTAGATGTTCACATCTCTGCATCAGACTGCTAATGAATGGCGCTCACTCACAGACACGCTTTCGACTTGATGGGTGGGCTACCATTCCTGAACACTAACCAAGACTCCAGAAAATCAGTTTTGCATCGCAGTTTGCAAGTTAAAATCAGCATTTTGTGCCTCATATATGAATAGCAATACTACCAACAGCCATTTATGCGGCAAGCTCCATGTCGTGTTATCATTGTAACACGGACCTTTCTCTCCGGCGACGCCCACTATGTTAATTTTACCTTTGTCCTACGTGGCTTATTTACAGTGGAATTAATGGTATCTTACTAACATTGTTACTTAGATGACTGTTGAATTTGTGGTTTATAACCATGGTGACAAGTACAGTATCTTGTTACATCCGTATTGTTTCAGATGTTTAAAAAAAAAAAAAAAGAGAGAGAGTCAGATTGCTCAAACAGTTAAATGAGCAAAAATAGCACGGGTCAACATTTTACACATTTTTTTTAAAAAAAAGTTGCAAGTAAACTTTTTTAGAGGATTTTTTTTCTCACTGATTCCGAATTTTTCTTTGTTTTTTCTCTTCCACATCAGGTTTTCATAATATAATGAATATTATGAATTATGGGTTGGATTCAGAAATGTGTGGTGGGGGGGGGGTTTCTGAACCCTCATATTTATACCTTACAACACACGGTTAAAAACTGTGTTGCGCAACTTTAAGTTCAATTTTGACAAAAGATGAATTACTGGATGTCGTTTAGGCCACTTTGTCCTGTTTTTTTCTTTTCAATATGTTAGAATGATAATGAAGTCATCCATTAGCAAAACTACATCCACCTTTAGGCCATCTTAAGGAAGCCATTTTGTAGAGTAAATTAACTTCCTATGTACATTAAATAATATAAACAATTACATTACAGCTTCCTGTCGTGATGCGTGTCCCGTGGTTCTCAGCCTGGGCTCAGAACTTGTGTGGGATGCAGTTTTCCATTTTGGGTTATGGAGATATCATTGTGCCAGGTGAGTGTGCCCACTTCCATCTCTACTCATAATTAGACGCGCATGCTGATATTTAATGATGTCTTTTGATTCATCAGGTCTTTTGGTGGCTTATTGCAGCAGGTTTGATGTTTGGATCAACAGCACCAAGAAGATCTACTTCTTCAGCTGCTGTATAGGTACCTCCAAAATGACCTGCGTGTTTCAAGCCTTCATGACATTCACCCTCTCTACACTGTTATGTAACACGATTGAGTATCTCAGCTCACTGGAAGGTGTCGCCCTAATTTTCGTCTTTGTTTTTATCTTGCTCTCCCATTTGATGTGTAGCCTATCTGCTGGGAATGATAACAACGTTTGCTGTGATGTTGCTGTCGAGGATGGGCCAGCCGGCTTTGCTCTACCTGGTGCCCTTCACCCTGATAACCTCTGTGACAGTGGCGGCCTGCAGGGGTGAAATCAGGCAGTTCTGGAACGGGACCTCCTATGAGGTGAGCAGAGTGATGGTGCACATATCTTCATTCTTCAATGTTGACAATGATGTGGGTGTTTTCACTCTCTGTAGTCACAATTTGTTGCTAGCAGTTTAGTCTGTGTGTGTGTGTGTGTGTGTGTGTGTGTGTGTGTGTGTGTGTGTGTGTGTGTGTGTGTGAGAGAGAGTGTCAGCGAGAGATTAGACAATGTGAGAATTCTATGAGGTGGGGTGCAGACATATTGTTGTCCCACATTTTTAATTTCACCACATGCGTGCGTAACAACAACCTTTATTTAGCTGTGTGTGTTTGTCGCTGACACGATGCCGCCATTTGAGCAGCGTGGCCTGAGCAACACGCATACTGACTGACTGACTATGAATCCCTCCCAGTGAAAAAAAAACATACAAAACCACAGAACTGGCAGGAATTATTTTCCAAAGTAAGTCTTTTATTTTTGGTTTGTTTTGCTGACACTGTCATCTTGCAAGGCTCCCGCCTCCCATGGCAACCATGGGCGCGCATCCGAAAAGTGACGACTCGTCTTCCTGTTTGTGAATCAAGATTAGTGGTGAAACAAAATATTTGTGTGACGTTTTCTGTTTTGAGATTATTGAAGCAAACCACATGACCAAATGACCAAAATTGTTAAATTACTAATTTTCTTTATGTGGGGAGTCTGCCACGTAAATAAATGAATACAAGTTAAGATTTGAAAAATCCTTGTGTGGTTTGTATGAGAGCTTGAGAGACTGTGTGAGGGACTCTGCGTGTTTGTGAGGGTGACTTCGAGAGAATGTGGGCATGAGAAATTGCCTGTGTAACATACGTGCGTGAAAGCAAGAGATTGTCAAGTTGTAGGTTTGTGTTTTTGCTGGTAGGAGATCACATTGTGACCTGACTTTGTCTTCATCAGGTGTTGGATTCCTCACAAGAACCTTTGTTGTCAGGTGTGCTCCTCCTTATCCGTCCCAACAGCTCTTCTTTTGTGTCATGCCAGCTTCTTTTAACCCCCTTTCAGTCTCTTTGAACATTTTAACTCGTTTTTTTTTCCCAGTGTAGTGATCAAGAAAATGTTGACTATGGGCGCTTCTGTCGTTAATTCACCACTAGGTGTCCCTATGCATCCATCTAATTTCTATTGTGCTTGTCCTCATAAGGGTCAGGGGTGAGCTGGAGCCTGTCTCAGTAAATTTTGGGTACGTCTTTCACTAGTTGCCAGCTAATGGTATGGCACAGACAGACAGACAAACAAACATTCACACTCGTATTCAAACATTCGGTTGATGTGGGAGGAAGCCCACACAAGCACAGGGGGGAAAACAAAAACAAACAAAAAACTCCCTTGACATTTGAACTCAAGACTTCTCGACTCTAAGGCAGACATGCTAACTCATTGACTAACGCCATTGACTTTACTCTTTTGGTGTCTCTAGTTCATGTTTTTTTGGTTGTTTTTTTTTTTTAAGTTCTCTGAGAAGCAAACTAAATTTTTGAAACAATGAGATAGGGGTAACTATAGAACAATGCATATTACAGGCATTTGCGTATTAGTTTATGGCCCACAGGCTTTTGTCCCTCTCACTCCTTCACTCTCTGTTTAGCATTCATGTTGTCATCCGCATGCTGCCGCATGCTATTAACCAGGGTGGGCTTGTTGCGGCATGGAGTTTGATAGATTGATGGATGCGTTGTCTGTCACCCTCACTCTCGTTGTTTCATGGAAACAACAACATGGATTTTAATGTCTCCATTCTCTTTACAGAGGCAAGAAGTGACCACCCAATAGAAGCAGAACCCTGCTGACCTCCAAGTCAACTGTTGGAATTTCTTATTTGTATATTTTACTATGAAATTGACAAAGCAAGGGACAGTGATGTATCAATACATTCTTAGATCAATATGGATTAATTTTGACTGCTTTGCAGAGCACATTATGTGTGGGAGTTTTTTGTAGCGTTGGAAAGGCTTTTTTCAGTGCCTCTTTTATGATTTAAGGAAGAAAAAAATAATCTGTCACATCTTTGCCTACACATCCTGCCTTGGAAATGATTGAACACATAATAATAGAAAGCACTTTACAAGAATTATGAGTGTAGGCTGGGAGAACCAAGAAAAAAAAAACAGCCACAAGTTCCTTTTTGATAACTTTGGATTTCTGTGTTCGGCCTGGTTCACATGATAAGGATAATTAGCCCCTTTTTAACACCGATTCTCCCCTCCCAACAGTTGTGAGGACACTCCTATTATCATAATGACTCCATAAATAATCACATCAGATATTCCTGCCATGTGTAGTGTATTCAAACTGATCTCGACCGCTCAGAAAGACGTTTGATTTGCTCTGATTTCAAATCAGGATTATTCAACATGTTGGATTGTTTTGGCCCAACCTCTCACCGTTTGTGGTGTGTCCTGAGGACAAACGACCACGCACTTTGTTGACAGTAACAGCCAATCAGAAAGTGAGATGGGGAATCCAAAATCAAAACAGTTATGGCACAAACAAAGTCCATGCCCACCCTGTCTCAACGCCTTTTCTTTTTGTTGCTTTTTTCCTGCTAACAATCCACAAACTATCGCCACTGCTTCCTCTTTGTCCACCATGTTTGTTTACTCTCGTGTTATGTTTAATAGTGAGGTCTTGTGAGATTCCCCCGTCTGACACGAATGAATGTGGTTTGTGTGTGATGTGTTGGCTATGCCATGTAGCTGAACACCACACGCTGTACGTTCAAACCTGTTATACCTGTGAATTTTTTTTTCCCGCCATATGAGTCGGTGGTCTCAGATTTGGCAAGTCTGCCGACAATTTTAAAATCTTGCAGTGTGAACCAGGCTTTAGTTGTTTTTATGATGTGATTGTTTGTTGCCTTATATTAAATTAACAAGTATGTTGTAATGTGTTTTGCTGTAAATATCTTCCATACACCCTAAACAACTCTCCTTTGTGTTTGTATTTGGGAAACATTTTCGCCCCCATAAGAAGTCATGGAAATAGATGCTGTCAAGAAACCCGAATTAACTCTTCAAACAGCTTTTTAAGTTACATTAACTTTCATCCAAGTACATGTATAAAAAGAAGTCATCCTACAAACACTTAAAAGAAAACGAGCAACACAGGTGCAACAATTAATTACTCCACTACCAATAAATTATCAAATTGATCACTTATTTTCGATAATCTATTAATCGTTTCGACCTTGTTTAATTTAAAACTGTGCAAATTGGAATGTCAGTCTCTCAACAGTAAGAGTTCTCAGATTTCTGTCGCCCTTCATGAAAGCAGACTTATCCATTATTTATGCAAAATATTGACTCAAAATAAACATTTCAATAATCTTCGTTTACCTGGGTAAACTGTGGTCATCATTTTTGCCTATTTTCTGACCTGTTATAGATCAAACAAGCAAAAGAATGTGTGCATTTTTTGTACTGTCAATTTAAAATACAATAGTATCCTATTCTTTAATATGGAGATGGAAATTAAAACGTGTTTATTGTTCATCAATTGATTGACAGAACAATTGACAAATTAATCTGTTATTAAAATAATTTTGCAGTCCAATAAAAGTAAAATTAAATATGGATTAAAGAGACATTAAAAAATCGATTGTCAAGCATAGCTCAGAATATTGTGGTCTTCATGAAAAATTACCCACTCAAAATGGATACTCATTCACAAGGGAAATTCCTTTTTTTCTTTTTTTTAGATCTACGGCACTAAAATAAGTATTTGCTTGATTAATTTCATATTCACAGCATATGAAAGCAGTTGAATAAAATGGAATGGACCGACGATTTCAGTTGTATATAAAGTGAAAGTCAAGTCAAAAAATGTCTTCACAACAATATGTTATATGCGATCCCATGAGTCTTAACATGTCATTCGGATTAATTAAAATGTTTGTGGAATATGAATTAAGCAGAAAAATCTACCCATTTTCATACCCCGCAGGAGGCGGCCATTTTGACACTTTGTGTCGACTGAAAATGACTTCAAGGTTGCTCAAGTAACGACCAATCACAGCTCACCTGTTTTCTGAGTTTGGTCAGGTGGCGTTCGCAAACTGAGCCATGAACAACTATGATATCATTTTCATTTGACAACAAGCGGCAAAATGGCCGCCTCGGAGATGATTTAAAATGGGTGGATTTGGCCGCTTAATTCACAGGCCACAAACACAATATTAATCAGAATACAGTGTTTAGACGAGCGTGGTCGCGTAGAATATATTGTCAAGAAAATATTTTATTTGACTTATTCTGCATTTTAGTGTAAAAGAGAGAGAGTTGTGTCTTTTTTCCGTATAAGTAGCCGACATTGTAACGTATTTTCTCCCACAAAACGCCAACACGCTTGTGGGTGACCAGTCTGACGTGAGTAAAACAAAGGCACACGTGGTAAGAGGCTCCTCCCCGGCCATGTGACAAGTGAGAGCTGGGCCGGCTGACTCAGCCGCTCCGTCACGCCGAGTCAGTCTGGGGTCGAACAATTATGAAAAAGCAACCTTCCGTTGGAGCTGCAGCCGAAGCGGATCTCTCCAGCGTCCACCGGGCTTTCTCTCCGAAGCTAATAACACAGAGCACCGCCGATAGATGGCTACAAGCCACGACGCAGCTCCCCCTGAGTCTCAACGGTGACAAGAATGGTACGTGGCCGCTCCCTCCTCATCTGGTAGCCCGCCTTTGAGGCGCTTTTGTCGGCTTGTCAAATTGGCGCCGGTGGGTCGTCGTAACAACCCGGATCGCGATTGTAGTTTCCAACCGTGCAGACGTTTGCATATACAACCCGAGAGGGACATCGCTTGTGTTTGCTGGCAATGACACTCCGGCAAACACGCCGTGGCCTTTTAACGCAGTGAAAAGGCTCCAGCGTGAAAAGCCCCACGCTTACTCCCCCACACGGGGCGCATAGCACGCTAAGTGGCTAGCTCATAACGTTACATGCTAACTAGCTTACAATAGCAACCCTGATGTTCGCGGCGGTGTCAAAAACAATGTCAACCCGGAATTTCGACCACAAATATTGACATTCGTAACGACACACTTGTGGTGAATAAACGAGTTGTCATGACCACTGGGATCGGGAGACACCTGACTCGTTTGGACATCTTGTTCAGTCACGGAGATCGTGAGGTGCTGAGACCGCCGTTGGAGGCATGCGCTCCCGCCTTGTACTCTTCCCTCTGGGCAGTTTTCATGTGTTGAGCTAAACTTAGTCGCTTCTTTCTTTCTCAACTTTTACATTTATTTAGGGGGAATGATGCCTTTATAGAGATTTAACAATCAGTTAGTATTGTCCAGGTCAGAGAACTATCAGTTTGTGTAAGTTGAGGGGTTCATTGTTTTTCAGTGGATGGCTCTTCTTTACGAATGACAAAAGGAGAGATGGAATCCTTTCATGCAGTTTATTAAAAGGAGAAAGAAAAAAAAACGACTGCACCTCCGAGCGGATGAACGAGAACACACACCCCCCTCTGTCACGAAAACTCAGTTTGTGTAAGTTGAGGGGTTCGTTGTTTTTCAGTGGATGGCTCTTCTTTACGAATGACAGATGGAGAGATGGAATCCTTTAATGCAATTTATTAAAAGGAGAAATAAAAAAAAAAAACGACTGCACCTCCGAACGGATTAACGAGAACACCACCCCCTTTCAGCACGAAAACACTTCCTGCTTCTCTTTAGCCAATCAGACGCAAGCAACATAAAAATGTTTCAACAATTATTAAACAGAATATAATTTAGTTAACTATAACATAAAAGAATATAATGCTCAAATATAAAATGAAAATAATTGATAATTTAACATAAGCTTACATTTGTATACTAGTTTGCTTGTAGTCCGCATATAAAATTGCACTACATTCGTTATTCACTAATGTGTTTGTTTGTTCTAATGCGAACGTATCTTTCGCTATTTGCTAGAGAAAAGCTAACCTATTTGCGTTTCTCTGCTCTTTCTGAACCCGTAAGATTCCACAAGATGTCACTAATAAAGTCCTGGCTGACAGGAAATTACAGTCGTACAGTACATGCACTTAAACGCAATGTTTCCACTAATTTTTCATGCGTCTCAGCATTCATACAAACTCTCTGCCTTTGACCACCTTCCTTGTCCACGGTGAGCAACATCGGGCATGCACACGTTTGTTTGTTTGTTTGTTTATTGAACATATATAAAACATACAATAACATGACAAAATGCAAACAAAAATTATGAAAGGAAAATAAAAGTAAGTAATACAAACATCATCACAGTTATATGTTCAAAGGAGTAGGAAGAAGTATACAACTTATCTAGTCCTACCCCTTTTTGAGCAATAATGTATATTGATCATTTCCAATACCAAAGAAAAAGAAGAAATCTAAATTTCATCAAATACATTTCCTTGTCCACGGTGAGCAACATCGGGCATGCACACATCTGCCAAACCAGTGTCATACCTGTTTGTTACTTTTGTTTTAGCACATCATTTTAACCATAATTAAGTCTCAATGTAATGTGTACACGTATACATATGGTCCCATATTGTCCACTCACAAATAATGAAAACATTAAATAAAACACCAAAATTTCTAGTCACTTGACTGAAACACACAGAAGAGCCTCGTTTCATGGGCTTGTAAACTGTTTCTTAGTTGCATTTCCAGACACTTGTTTTCCAAATCAAATATCTTTTTTAAGGGTAATTTTATAAGATGACATTGAAAGGATAAGTGTTTTTGGATGATAGTTTTCTGTGTAGTTATATTTTCAAATCTTGATAATAGGCAGTTAAGATTTTTAGGGGTGCTTCAATTACTCGCCGTTTTTCTCTATTCATGTCAGCGCATGGCTCTTATGTCCTGCACATCCTCTAGTAGGGTTTTACTGTGTGTTAAATTGACACTTGTTTTACTTGGCAACCTGTAAGTTAATGCAGTTGTAATACAACATTCATTAGCTTTAAAATTGTATCATTGTAGCCGACGTGTGCACATTTTGAGCATGACGTCTCTGATCCACTGGTGAAAGGACACTTTGATTCTCTCCTCTTTCATCTCAAACTGCTTTTAACAACAAAGCGTATGAGGGAAAAGTGGTCAGGATAGCACGACTGTCTGTGTTTTATGTTATGTGTTGTGTTTATTATTTTACTTTATGTTAACTGTTTTGTTAAGCGCTTTGTTACAGCTGCAGCTGTTGTGAAAGCGCTATATAAATTAGGATGTATTGTATTGTATTGTATTATGCTGGGGGTCCTTGTTTTAAATCGGAGCTTCATTCTTATGGAGTCGATGTAACCTCAATTTTGTTGTCTTGCTAAAATAATGGTCAATGTAATTTTTTTGACGTCATTTTTTTTTCCATCTTAATAATCTCCTCAGGATGCCAGTCACCGCTTCTAAAATTGGCTTCATAGCAGTTGAATGGATCATGCAAACTCATTATTAACACACGTATAATCTATTCAGTATATATTTTTGTGTGTTTTCTGGAAAAAAAGAGAAAATGACATACTTGAGACACTGTTTTAGGAATGTGATGATTTGAAATTCAGTATCAAGTTATAATTACAATGAATATGCGCATAAAACATTTCCATAATTAGAAAACAACCAAATGAAAAATAGTAAAAGGTTTTAAATGAACGTGCTTTCGAGTGCCACTTAATGGCGTATACTCACACCGCTGCGCAAACTAGTTTGTTGCGGGCCATTCGTGACCTCGTAATGTCATGTCATAAAGGGAGCAGCCACCACGTTTGGTGGTGAAGTACATCAAGAGCTGAATTGTTCATTGATTAATCATTCATCAAATGATGGTTCCAAACTATAAATGTTTATTAACTGTGTCGGCAATGTTTCAAGTAACCCTTACCTGTCAGTGTCGCTGTGAAATTGTAACATCTTAGATGTCTCTTATTTTTAGCATTCTTAGTGTCGCTCAATGGTAAGAAAGAAGTTAACAACGGTACGGCTCCAACGATTAACCAATAAATGGTATCATTTCCTAACAGGTAAGTTTGAGGCAAAAGCTCTGCTTTGACGGTTCTCATTAGAATGTTAATGCAGTCGCATGCACCATTCTGTGTAGAAATAAGTAGGCGCCATGGCGGCGAGCCAGGAGCTAAGACTCCATAAAAGATGTGTAAAAAACAAAAAATGTCCAAAGTATGGGATCGGTTCACCCGTCACAAGCAAGATAAATTGCAATGTGTACCACAACAGCACGTCTACGATCACCAACAAACGTGAATGTATTGATGTTCGCAAATTTTATGTACCTTGTCATCGCTTGTAAGTCCCCTGCTTGCCTCATATTGTAAATCCACACACACTCAAAGTCAGAGATACTACAGTAGATTGTGAGGATTGTGACTCCCAAGTGGACAAAAATACTATCATTTCATAATGCACAGTCAATTTTGATCCAAGGAAATATTTGATAGCTGCAACTCCAGTTATTCTCGGATTACAGCCTCCTCTATGCTTTCTTATGTCGGTGTTATATGAGAGATGTTGTGACCTTGTTTTTTGGCCCTGAGCCATTGATCAAGTATTGAGTTGATTACCCAGTTTCCAAGTTCTGTCAGTCACATGACCACTGATCACATCACAACGGCACTGGGCTTTCCTCTTGTTTAACATCACAAACAACACACAGAAAATTGAGCGTCAAGATAAAAGATGATGATGGCCAAGAAAAGAAAACCCATCATTTCTCCACAGCGGAAGCCTGAGACGGTCACATGCCCCAGCTTACCCCTCAACTGGATGAGGGTCACTGGACAGAATTTCGAATGACATGTAAAGTGCTCGTTGGAGCGTTGCATGCGAACGTGCGCAGCTCGCTCAACTGATGATGTTGCAATGCATCCCCTCGCGCTAAATTGCCCCCTCCCCAACCTTCCTACCAACAATCAGGCCCTACACATCATGAGTGATCTGCATTTATGGAGGGCAGACCTGGTAATGATCACTTATGTTTTGAGGGGCCTTCTAAGCAGGGCACATGATTGGCTGCTTGCGGAGTTGAGTAAACAAGTTGCCTCTTTGAAGTTAAATGCCTCCAATAGATGACTTACAGATCTCCTGGGTCGCATGTTTGCATGTCATATGATGCTTTTTTTTTTTTATCATTACTCTCTGCTTCGTCTTTAGTAGCCTCTGATCTGCAAGTATTTAATCCAGCATCACACTGTTGCGCTCTTGCATAAATTCTTGCTGTGTGTGTGTGTGTGTGTGTGTTCCTGAGCACTCTTATCTCACCACTAATACATTTACACCCCACACACACTATTTTGAAGATGGCTGATAAAGTTCTTTCCACTGGCCTTGAACAGACTTTAGAGCGTACTCGGTCACAGCCTCACACTTTGTTCATTTTTCAATTAACACACTGCAATGAAGTGAAGTTCCTGCTTCCTCGCATACCCTGCCAACTGAATCTTCATATTGGAGAGCTTGTCCAATAAGTGTAAGGCAACGGCACGTGCGCATAATCGTCTACTTTTGCAGTGGCTCTTGTGTTTAACTAAATGTTTGCCACTGCTCTTTAAAGAAGGCCGGCGCTGGTGAACCCTGCCTCTCATTGGCCCACACAATGGTGAGCTCCAGCTATAGAGAGAAGGCATCACATGCTGTGCATCGCCGGGATGCGCACTTGCTTGAAGGTATCGCAGCGAGGCATGGCGTGCCACACCAGGCAGTGCACTGCTGAACCATGGCCACAGGGAACAAGTGTTTGAGCTGTCACGCTTTAGTCTCATGACTCAGTGCAACCCGTCCAAAGGCTTTGTTTGATTCATTCTCCCATCCATTTTCCTCTCTTTTTGAAATGTTTACAGATGTATTTCACTAATGTTAACCCCAGCAGCACATTGTACATGGGGTCATCACATCTGCCTCAGCGGTTCTGAGGTTTTAGGTTCGAAATTCGGCTCTGGTCTTCCTATATGGAGTAGATGTGTCCTCCCCTTTTTTAAGGTTGCACAGTACCACTGTAGTTATGACAACGGTGAAAAGGCTACAATAAAAAAAGAAAATTAAGAAAAAGTCACTCGAAGATTCATAGCACACTGACACGTGTCGGATGCCCCAGATCCTGTCAGTGCTTTTCCATTTGACACCCCACCCCAGTACAAGTGGTTGATTGGTCATTCTTGCTATCTCCATTTGCCCCATACAGCTGCTGTAAATTGGGAATTTCTCCATTGAGACAAATAAAGGTTTTCTTATCTTATCTGAAAAGGTGTGAACTTATAAAGATGATTTAAGAAAAATTTTAATACCGTAACTACTATGTGAGGCTCAAAAGACTAGAAACACCAACACCAAGATGACGCAGCACATTCCGAATGCCGGAAAGGACCCAACAATTTAAAACTGTTCCCATATGTCTTAATCCCCCGCTGTGCTGCTTACCTAATGTGAAGCCACTATTATTATTCTTAGATTTTTTTTAACTAATTGCAGTGGCCTGATGGGACATCAAACTAGTCGTGTAAATCCACCCGTTTGTGCTGTTTGACAAATTAGTAGCACAAACTGATTATTGACTGCAATAATTACTAGTATAATACAGACAAAGACATGTAACTATCCTGCATTACAATGGATGGAATCTCCCCTGAGCCATAATAACAAGTTGTGCTGCAGAGGTAAAATGTGAGAAAACAAGAACAGCGAATGCATCTCATGCCTCATGTCTGCCTTTAAGGGCTACATTTTTGGCTATTGTTCATGTTGAGGGGCTGACTCGATAGCCTCCTTTCTAATGGGCGAGGCGGGGATCAGATTGTCTTTCGTCATGCAAAGAGCGCTGGAGGACTGATGGCTTTGCCGACTTATTTGTGTACATGGAGACAGCACGTGAGCACTAGAAATATTTGCCTCCTGAATTCAGTTTTACGAAAATAGTTATAGGGGTGGTGACTTACATTTCACGCGCAACCAAAAAAGGATCCTAAAAATAAATGCAGACGGGAAGAGTGAGTGAGTGAGTGAGTGAGTGAGTGAGTGAGTGAGTGAGTGAGTGAGTGAGAAAGTATAAGTGTGCGTGTGTGTTTTTGGCAGGGCGTCCAGAGAGCGCCAGTCTTTTGTTGGGTGACATTCTCAGGTACCATGGTTACAGGTTAGCCCAGCTCAATCCGGTTTTAACACTGCGCTGGGCAAGGCGGATTTCAGGTCCAGCTGAATTACCTGCAACTATGTTTGATGAGAGGGAATGGGCATAATCATCGATCGAATTATCGATCCCCGAATCTCAAAACTCTGAGGCAGATTGGTGACCATTTGCTCACCATGCTGCCTTGTATGGTGCATAAAAGAGTTTGTATATTGGTGCCTATTTGGCTCTAGCGCAGTCTTACCTGACACAAATCAAAAACAACAAATAAAGGATGACTCTTTAAGAGACTGTGTGCGCGTGCGTGTGTCACATTAGGTGGTGTATTCCAGTGAGCAGATAGTTGTTTATCATTGAGGCCTCGGCCCATCCACTAATCCTGTCCTGCACCACCTTCATCTGGGCCTCTCTCACCCTAGTCTAACATCGACTTGTTCTCAGACACATTCATCTGCCTCCCGACAGAGGCTTCTTACACATTAACTGTCCGTGGCGTTATTATTAGGCGACCACATCTCGCTGATCACTCAGCATTTAACTCTCGGCCAGATCGGCGCGCAGGACATTGCTCCCATACTCTTGGTGAGGCGGACGACCTCATTGTGATTTTGATGGTGGTGATCGGTTGCTAAAGGCAGATTGGAGAAGTTGTGGCTTTGGTCCAGGAGATGCTTGAAGGTGCATTGGGATGTTTTTCTACAAAGCCCTTGAATACAGAAATGAAGATGAAGAAGACAGTCAGGTATGCTATCAAGTGATTGACTGATCTTATTCTCTTCAGAAGCTACAGAGTTTACTAAACCAGCAGAACCTCAGAGTGAGGCTTGCAAATGCGCATTTGGAGTCAGATCCAGATGGAACTTGATTTGACCGTACAGTTCCTGATGCTGTATACTCTGCAAATGTCATCTTGAAAAAAAAAAACGAGCTATAGTACATTCATTGATCATTTTAAACAGCCAAACCAAATGCACAATTTGGATTGGATGTGGATTAAGGCTGTCACCATCAAATATTTTTAGAATTAGTTTCGTCTATCAATTATCAATTTTATATATATATATATATATATGTGTGTGTGTGTGTGTGTGTGTGTGTGTGCGCATTTATTTTAGTAAATGTTTTTAACACATTTCTAGCCAAATGTGGAAACTGGATCAAATCTGTATTTGACTTGGTTTGAATTTACAGTCTCTTACTCATTGGAAATGTATTTAAAACGTATCCAATTTGCTGAACCAGATTTGATAAAATAAAAAATGCATCCATATGTGGTCTCACACTAAATTTTAATCTTCCACCAAAAAAAAAAAATAATTCAACCAAAACAGCCTCTTCAGTTCCTATTTTGACATTTTAGGTTGTTTTCGGACTCTTTTGAAATAGTTAAAGTGCTTTAATGGATTCCTTGCGTATTCTGGGAGGGATTAGACCTATTAATCCTCTTGAGGACCTCCCAAACTGCACTGGCTGAAAAATAAATTAAACATTCCTCAAATGTAAATCCTTGTTTTGGGGGAAAAAAAAGTAACGTCTAATGCGATTTATCTTTTCAAATCTACACCCACTAGCTGACACTTTGAGCTCATATACAGTACAGCTTCTCAGCTGTTTATATTTAACATATTTACGTTTTTAACCGTTTCAGTGCTGCAGATTTATTGGCACATTCACTCACAATATTCATCTTCTCTTCTCTTGTCAGTCCCAGAAACCCTGGATAGAAAGCACTTTCACCAAGCGGGAATGTGTGTACATACTTCCAGTGTCAAAAGACCCCCACAGGTATGTGTTTGCACTTCAGGAGGGAGACTGGTGGTGGTTGCCGTGGAAACGTTGTAATTGTGTGGTGTCTGTTAGACGAGGCCCAAACCTCAGCCACCACTCTCACAGTGGATAAATGAGTCAGTGTCCAACCTTGCTTTTAAGACTCAAGACTGGAATTGTAGGTTGACGATGTTTATCGTCCTTCACTCTAGTGAGCCCTGAATTCAACTTGTTTTCATTTGCCAGCCATGTTTAATCTTTACCATGGACCTTACGTTAAATGTCAGGGTTGTTGTTGTTGTTTTAATCAGATGATTTCGCCCCCCCCCCCCCCCAAAAAAAAATACTGCGGTCATTCACTTTTATTCTCGAACAGCCAGGAATTTGTTAACTTTCCAACTGCATTTGCCACCACTTTCTTTAATATCTCAGTTGATAGCATCTTAATGTTTATGACAAAATTCAGGAATACACAGGAAGCGGGAATCTATAATTTTGTGTCCTTAGTGAAGGTTTAATTTGTTTTTTTTCAAAGCGGAATCTCCTTTTGTGATGTTTTGGCACAATATTCATGGTACAGATCACTGTTACGATATAAAGTATATTTTGTATAAAAACTGCTTCAAAAAGTTACTAGTTATTTGATATACTGTAGTTGATTCCCACCGTTGGAGCAATTTACTGTTTAATCATTTTGTGTCATAAATGATCTCAGATTTTAGTTACTCTTTGTAACTAACATGCATTCGTCTACCTTCCGGCACAGTTATTCTTTTTCTTTGTGTTTTCTTTTTAATCAATAATTTGCCTTTTCTCCTCCAGCTCCGGTGCATGTTAGTACTCATGGCTAGGTTTGTGAACTTTGAGTCATGGCCCACATATTAGGCTGCCCTTATGATTGGACAAAATATCAGTACAGCAGTGTATCATATCTTAATGTCCTACGTCGTAAGTTATCAATAAAATAACATCTTAAAATATCCAGGCCTTTCTAAGAGCTCTCATTGTGTAAAAGTCCCTTAATTAGGTTGCACAACTCCGAGTGAAAGTTCCAACAGCCCAGTTGAAAATCATTTGTTGGCCCTCATGGTGATATTCTTGCATGGTAGCGCTCGCAATGGCCTCTGTTTTGAATTCAAGCTTGTGAATGCTTCATGTCATGTGTTTAAATTCCTTCTAGATGCCTTCCAGGATGCCAGATTTGCCAACAGCTAGTTCGGTCAGTACTGCCTCAGTCTTTGTTTCCTACATTCTTTGGTCAGGCAGGATTAGCCTGCTACCCAGAAGCAGCCTGAAGGCAAAGAATGTAATTCCATTGAGGAGAAACCCACCTCAGGAAGTAATTAACATCCAGGGTTTGTGATGTACCAAATTCTTCTTCAAGCTAATGATTCAAGTGAATTTTCCCGCAACGGTTTGGCAAGATTCCACTGTATTTTTAACCTTACTTTAATTTTGATTCATGTTGCATTTTGAAGGGCTTAAAAGTGCTTATATTTCAAATTAAGTGTTGAAAGTCTGTTTAAAAATGACACACAATCTCCAACACAACAATACATGTTCTGTTCTTTTATTTCTTTTCCCTCTGGTCGCTTTGCAGCATACAATAAAGTCAACTGACAATTCGATAATTGAGTATGCTGAAGCAATTTACTACAGTCGCAAGAGGCTAGGAAAAGCTTGAAAATTGGGCTTGAAAGTATTTTCAAATTGTCAATGTATTCTTTTTGTCTCGTAATTGCTCCTGACAATAAATGTTTGGTTGGTGTGTGACCGCATGCGTGTGCGCTGCCGGCGCAGGTGCTGCTGCGGGCGTCTGGTGCGGCAGCACGTTGGCTTCACGGCCAGCCTGGCCAACAAGTACTCGGACGTGAAGACGGCTGAGAGCGCCGGCGGGCCCGCGCCGGAGTTGGAGGAGTGGTCGGTGGAAAAACACACAGAGGCTAGCCCCACTGACGCCTATGGTGTCGTTAACTTCCAGGGAGGCTCGCACTCCTATAGAGCCAAGGTAGGAAGTATGCTTCTGTGTTGGAGGTCATATTCGCGATTCATATGAGGCACGGATTGTGGGTGGGGAAATAGTGACACAAAAACCCAAAAGTCACCTCTATCCTCAAAACACCATATCTAATTTACAAACTATACAGTAATTTAGTTGACAGTTGACTGCAGTAGGAAATTATAATATTCAAATAAAATTTATTCGTAAATATTAGCAAATTATTGTATGTTATATATCTGTTTACAGGATACACTTTTGTGGTGTTTATACATATTTATTTATAAATGCTATAATTATTGTAGGAGCCAATATCAGTGGTTTGTCTTTTATCACATGCAGTTCTAATTTAAATTCATAGTATCTTAAGGTGGGGTTGTTTTTTATATTTTTTAAATTTTGTACAAACATACAGAATCACTGCTACTGATAATGATTCTACGTAGTAATGGTAATATAATAATGAGTGTCAGATGAATGGAACAGTTTTTATTTTAATACAAAAATAACACTGCTTTTATTCTGTAATATTTATTGATATTAAATTTTATTACAAGTATTATTCGTGTGTGTGTGTGTGTGTGTGTGTGTGCGT